ATGTAAATTGGTTAAATGATTTACACTATTAGCATTTATTTATAGTAAGAAATTTATTTGTTTGTTTGGGGTATGGTTGGAGTCTCGCGAATCGGAATTCGCGACAGGTAGAGTTTGGGAAATTGGTTACCGAAAGAGCTTCAATTCTTCCTTCATAGTTTTGATTAGACTTAAACGGTTGGCTAACTTCTTTGATATAAAAGATGATTGGGAACCTGGATCAAATAATACTAGAGCTCCTTCCTGAATTTGCAGTTGAATTGGGTTAACTGCTTCAATTTCTTTACATATTAATAAAACCTTCTTGCTTTGCTGGTTGGCTGATTTAGTGAATTTATGATGATTGTTGAATTTGTTTCTTCTTTGTTGGATCCATTATTAAATAGAGCCTTTTTACTTGTCAAGGGTCACAAAAACGACACAATCTGGTGATAATAATGAAAAAAAAGAATAATCCAAAACTGATCGAGTATAATGAAAAACTGATTGTCCAAAAAGAACCCCTTGGTTCACTCAGTACCGCTTATATATGAAAAAAGTGGGAGTGGTTTTGCTATCATTACACTGAAAACTGTAACGTTCAATTACAGTATAAGCATCTTAGGAGATCAAAACGAGAAGATATGTGAATTTTTTTGGAGGGAACAAGAACAAAAGAGATGTTTGAGATGTGAATTTAGTTAGATATTTTAAGCAATTGCTAACAAAGGCATTTCTAAACAAAGACATGTGCTTAGACATGAAGGAAAAACATAGGAATTGAAACGGGAAATAAATCTGAGGATGTAAATTCTGCTAGATGATTCACAACATTTGGAACATTCATTTACAACAAGGAAATTAATTTGATAATTTATTTGTTTGTTTGAGATGTGGTTGGAGTCTCGCGAATCGGAATTCGCGACAATAGGTAAAGGATAAAAACGCGCATTAACACGATTAGTAACAGAGATTATATAATTATTACCAATTATTCATGCTGAAAATCAGCTCAGAATATTTTCATTTTTCTTTCAGTTAATCAATTTTTGTATAAATTTCAGCTTCATTAGAGATTTTCAATCATGGAACAATTTACACACTGTAAAAATGGAAAACAAGTTGAAATTTAATTGAAAAAAAGTTTAAAATTATTTGAAGTTTTATACGTGTAAAACAACGAAGTTCCAATAGAACACTGATATCATCTTCATTGTAGTTTAACAGCTTTTATAAATCAAAACAATGGAAAGCCTTTTACTAAAATTCAGATCCTTCAATAACTTTCTCCATTACCATCATCCATGCAGCTGTATCGATACAGGGATTACTAATAGGCCATTTGATTCCTTCATAGACAATTATCAAGAAAAAAGAAATGCGAGCAATGCAATATACTTCCGAACATTCCTGTATGATTATTGATTTTTGGTTGATACAGTTGGATATATAGATAATGGTATGGTTTCCATATACATTTACATCACGATGGATTAGGTAAAGTCAAATGTTACTTTTTATCATCTGACTGTTTTAATTGTTTCAATTTTTTCAACATGGACGATTGCGTGACAGTTGTATTTTTGCATTGTCCCCCAATAGACAACCTATAAATCATCAGTCATAAAGCTTTCTCTTGTTTATTAAACCTCGATAAAGCAACATTTGCAAAGGGATCACTATGCTCACGTGATGTTTGGCCATTTGCTTCAGTTTCTTGATTAAAATGAGAGCGATAGTGAAGGACCTGATTTGTAGATTCAGAAGTTAAAATTTTTGAACAAGTAGGATTTGACCACATTTTTTCAGAATTCGTAACCATAACTTCTTGATTTTAAAATTAATAATCGGAAAATGGTGAAAGAAATTATGCGCTATAAAGCAGATTTGGGTCACATCTTTTTTATCATCGGGCTATTTTTACGCCATTCAAATTCCCTTCTCGTGGATTTCCTTGCATTTCTAGACTGATTTTGTTGTTTCATTTGCATATTTCAATTATGCTCAAAAAGCAGAGTGATTATTAAAAATGATTACTAGAGCTTTGCATTCTGCCCGAATGCACTTTGTAAAAAAAGCCATAATGCCAACATCTACTAAAAAGAACATTTTATTAAGTAGAAGAAAGTCCATACAGAAGTAACGGTGCAAATAATGCTGAACGCACTCAAACCGTGAAAATTTCAGAAGATCAGAAGATGTTCCACCCATACAATATAGTGATTATTACTGGTTTGCTTGCTATTTGTTGACGAGAAACTGATGGGCTAGTCAGATTCAATACGGTCCATTAATCAGCGGATAAGCAATAATAAAAGATTACAATCAAACTCGACACGCATTCAAAAGCAGTTGAAAAACTGGCGTAAAAAAGACCCGAAAAGATTGAAATTATAATTAATAATTCGCACAGTGAGATCCACAAGGATCCGTAAGAATGAAAGAAATGAAATTAGCATAATAAAAGCGATAACCAAATCTCTCTTAAAAATATTTTGCTTGAGATCGAGAAACAAATGTACAAACTGCCAGTATTTTAAAGAAAACTATTAAACTAACTGGCTGCAAAGATCAAGAGATATCATCAATGAAAAACTAAGATGCTGCGGTAAGTTGATCACACTGTAACTATGATTTTTTCCTTGTACCTCTCACGCTTAACCATTTTAATTCTGCTTTTTAATTTAATTTTTTCTACCCAAATTTAATTTGCTGAAAAAATTCCGAGAAATCTCTAGGAACATATATTTCCTGCATTGCCTATACTTACATCCGTTTTTTTCGCAAAAATAGATGAAATATGCTACATAACACTCCCCTCTACAATTTTTTCTAAATTAAATTTCAAGAAACTTCCGAAATTTGCATAAACCACATAAAATTTCCCCAGGGCTATCATAAGATTTCGGAAATTACATGGTCTTCCAAGATATATCTAAATTTCGAAAATTAAAACTCTCCCTGCTTTTACCCTTTTGTCGATTCACCAGTGATAAAACTACAAAAACATCAATTAGAAATTGAAAAATTTCGTGTATAGAAGGCGCAGCTTCCTTTACATTGAGCAAAAAGATTTTGTCCATTTAGGTCGATTTATGTTTCTCGATCCTTGTCATGAAGAACACAACCCATATTATTCGCCAGGAACGTATATTTCTTGTTTTCATTGTCTATACCTACACCCATCTTCTTCCCAAAAACATAAAATATGTTACGTAACATTCCCATCTACACTTCTAAATTAAGTTCCAAACCAAACTTCTAAAAATTCTATATTATCCAGTACCAATTTAAAGTCTAACAATAAAAAATAAACTGAGAGATCCATAACTACATAAAACACAGGGTGAAATAAAAGCGATCTCGGCCATGTTACTACAGAAAAAGTGTGAACATCTCAAAATCTATATAAAATGAATGCTAAAATTTGGCAACCTCAAAATCTAAAAAAATTTTTTCTTGTGTGAAAAAACTGCCTATCCGGAATTCCTTAGATTATCAAAACAGCGGAAGAACGTACCGTTATAAAACTTCGCCATCTTCAAGTTCTTCATTTGGCGGTGGTAAAGGTGGTGGAGGCAAAGCTGAAAGCAAACGTGTTGAACTACCTGATAGGTAAGTGGGAAAAACCGCAACGTGGGAAGCGACAAAAAATCCAGGATGCTAAAAAATTTCAGCATATCCAGTATCCTTACTTCAATCCCCATACTCTCCTTTTTCCTTGCTCTACTTCATCTTGTACTAAAGTGTGAATACAGAAGATAAAAGTGCTCCTCAGGTTGCAAAAGCACTTCTAATCATAGCAGAAAAGATATCAAGGGAAAAAGTAAATCCAGACGTCATGCATAAACTCAACCAGGACATTATTATAACAAAATAATGACAGTCATGGAAGACAGGAAATTCATTGGCTGACAAAATGAAAATGTTAGAAAACTAGCAAGAATAGACAAAGCATTAGCTAAACTTGTGTTGGTAAAAGATGAATAGGGCACGCGTGACCGCCAGGAATAACGTCTCCTCCATTCTCCACGCCTATATCTCGGTGATGATTGACGTGGTGCTACCTTATAGACATATCGTCGACAATAATAGCGTCGTGTGAAACCTGAATTTTGCATGCACACAGGAAAAGCATGCTACTAAACTTGCATTAGTCAGTCATCAGTGCTTCCTGTTCATTCTTTCCTGATGGTATCGATAGTGCAAGTCGAACACGATCGTGCGTCCAAAAAGAAGCTCATAGCATCACCCAACAAACTATCCCGTGTTAAGATACTTTTGGTTATCTGCATAAATCACAAATTAGCGGAAAAAATGAAATATTACAACGAACACAACATACGCTGTTTGGTAATGATTTTTCACACCCTTTTACATATGCTTTATTTCAACGTGAAGTAATTTTCATGTTACATGCAAAATTATCCTAGAAAGCAAGCAGAATGCAATAAACTACGTAGCTCATTGAAAAACTAAGAGCAAGCTTAGAATTTACGCACGAATTTCTGCTAAGATACCAGACCCTAAACAAAAGGTTTCAGGGTACAATATATATTGTATAATGTGACAAACATGCAACAAACAGCTGCACCGATAGGATCGAACTGATTACCAAATTACGTCTAACTTCCTAAGTAATGTACAAATATTTCTAAATAACTTTCTCTCTTGCAGTATAAACCATTACTTGAATAACCGGATCCTGAACGATTTTCAGGACTTGGTAAACGTTGTGACTGTCGATGAGTGTTTGATATTATTGCTGTAGTAGGTGAAGGTGGTCTCGGACGGGAACGTTTATAATATGAGTTTCCTGTGTCAGGCGTACTTAGTAAGGGTTCACGCGATTTTGTGCGTCCACCACTTGACGATGAATAGTGCTACAATAGTTCGACTATTTTCAATGCTAAACTTAAAAAATGAACCCAAATTAATTAGACCCTTTTAATCTCCAAACAAATTTAAATACAACAATATATAAGCAAAACAGAGAGGCATAAAATTCGAACAACACTTACTCTATGATTAGATGATCCAGACGACTGTGAAAAACGTGACGCATTATTGGAAGTCGACCCCATATAATAATCGTTTGTCATCGACCAATTCGTAGTAGCGTTAGCTCTATGTGTACTTTCACCAATATGACTTGAACGATTCGGTTGTATTGTCGACAAATTATATCTAGAAACTCTCTTCAAAATATATGCATCCAAAATATGTTATATACCCTCCTCTATAATAGTAAATTTAATAACCAAGAGTTGAACTACATGACTGTGAATTGAAGAAATTCTAACTAAAATAGGGTTAAAAATGGAATACAGTTCGTAAATAAGCAGGTGAGACTTGCTACCAAGCAATGAAAATAAGGAACTAAAGAATCTGTCGGAAAAATTCCCGAATAAACTACAACTGGAAGGAAGACAGGAAGAAGGGAAACAAACTTTGAATTTTGCGAATTTGTGCTTATTACAGAAGCAGTATTTGACGCTACTGGCGTTGGTAGAAGCGCAATTAAAGGTGCCGTTTGTCGTGCCCTCTTTAATGCTGTCATATCGTCACGCTGCCGAGAAGGTATACTTTCATCACGGTTTCTATTGGTGCTGTTGATATTATTATTGTCACGTTTAAGTGATTGTGAAGCCGCTTCTTCACGTGACCTCGAAGTGGTGCTGTAACCACCAGAAGTCATGTGATTTAAAGGGATTGCTGGACTGAAAATAGAAAAACTGGATTCGTTATTTATACTGTGAAAAATAAACCTACTGAGAAATTATAAACCGCACGAGTCCTTAATCCAAAATAACTTCCGATAACAGATCCGGTATATTTCGATTCACTTACTTGTGACGTTCTGTTGGTTTCGGTGTTCCAGATTTTGGAGTCGATGTCACGTTTGTTAGTGATGTTGCTGTTATAGTGGAACCGCTATCTGGCTGATTAACAGTCACAATATTTTCATAGAGCCTCTTACGGTGATGAGATCCTGGAAAAACACTCGGATTCAAATTATTAGGTCAAAAATCAATCAGCAGCCCTAAATCTTAAAATTTTTTGAAAGCAAAAAATCAATTTACAGGGTAGAAATATAATTCATTCCTTAAAAATTGAGGAATGAAGTGAGAGGAATTATACAAGAAATCGTCTCAATTAACCTTCCGTACTCGTTTTTTCAATCCTTCTGTGCTTTAAATCTTTGTCGTAATCATCTGGTTTGGACTTTTTATGCCGTTCTTGTTCACTGGTCCCTGTTGGTTGCCTAACAGGTTGCAATGGTTTCGCAGAATTCGTGATGACTGGTTTTTGCGAAGTCGCTGGTCTGGGAGTTCCAGATTTTGACAACTGGACGACTTTGGCTTCACTTGGTTTGGCAATAACTTGATCTGACTTATTTTGATTTAGTTGTTTTTCTAAAATGATAGTGGTAGTAATGCTAACATAAAAATAGCAAAAAAAAAGAAAAACGCATATTATCTCAACACACGTCCTCCACACTTCAGTCTACTGCATTTTTAGTAATATATCTGAAGAACAGTAACCAAATCAACTACAAATTTCTAAAATGGAAAAATTTGATTTAACTGAAGCAACTCAAACTGGCATTGGAAAGTTTATAAAATATATTATGAAATACACACAAGCAAACTTGCCATTTGCGATAATTGGAGGAAGAGGCAAATCCAGTCCTTTATTAGCTGTTTGTGGTAGTACATCAGGTCGCATGAAATTTCGTCGTTGTGTTTGTGCTACAGAATTTTGTGAACTGCTCGGTTGCTGTTGTTGCGTTGCTATAAAAAGACAGCTATCAACAGAATTCATTGTATGCTTAAACTTTGAATCTTGGAGAAATAAATAACATCAGATGAAAAAAGTAGAAATACCGGTGCTTGAAACCCGATTAGTATTTTCAGCAAAATTTTTAACCATTTACAACATCTAACCGTTATTCCGTAATTTGTAATCACTGAGGTCGATTCGCCGAGTTGGCTCAGCACCTTTCGCAGCCATAGCCGCATTAAGCTGTGGTGCCACCGGTGGCGGTGGTAGAGTTGCGAATGACGGTGCAACTTCTGAAGCAATTCAATATATACACAGGTTGAAATATTACCAAAGTTAAAAATCTGAAACTAAAAATCGTAATTCAATACATCCATCTCAGTCTTAAGACCTAAGTTTCAAAGTATTAGTAAGATGGAATTCTAGCTAACGTCTCATCACTAAACAATAAATTGGAGTGGCAGCAAGTAGTTTAGAAGTTATTTAAAATAATTTACGATTCTGTCCTTGCCGCTGCTGCTGTGACGAGAGCTGTTGCGGTGACTGTTGCTGAGGCTGGTTGGGATTCTGTGATGCAGTTTCTCTTAGAGAGCTACGCATAGCGTATTTCTTGATGTTCAATGATTCACCATGTGTTTTGTAGATACGGGAGAATTCTTCGGTTAATTCTAAACAGATGTAAAATTCTGCCTTCGAAAAGATTTGCCATCAAGTTTTTATGGATTGCACCAAAAGAGGAGTCAATAAATAAGTCATAAAATAAACTGCGCAATTCATACCAAAGTGATTTGTAAATCTTAAAAGGTAAGGTATCCCGAAAAGCAGATACAACTTACTCAATAATTTATCGAGCGTCATTGTGGGATCAACCTGTTTATACCATGGCTCCTCATCGGGTGTTGTTTGAATCTGAAAATAAACTCCCTGAAATGCCATCTGAAATTATTTTTTCCACAAAAAAGTAAAGGCCGGAAGCATAGATGATTCAGAAACTAACTTTACTTCCAACAAACAACATGATAAAATGCAAACTGAAAATAAAAATATCTCGCGTGGAACAAAAAGGAATTCCAATGTTTAAACAAAAATCAATTAGAACAATTTAATTTGAAGAAAAGAAAGAAACCGATGTTATTATACAAACTCATATAAAACTAAAAAATAAAAACAGAAACCGGAAAACTAAAAAATAATCAGGGAAGTTCAAAAAACACATATGATAGTCAAAGATATTATGGGGACGAGAACATCAGATGCCAGGTCAAGTTATAGGATTTCAAGGATTCTCTGGTATTTTAAACTATGCAAAAAAGAAGACCTATAAAGTTTGGCAGAAAACCTGCGAAGTTTATAGAATCATGAGGATTCTGATAGTTTTAAATCATGTCCCACAGCTTCCCTCCTCATAAGTTGATTTTAAGCATTATAGATTTCTTATTTCCACCATTCCACTAACGCTTGCACACATACATATACATATATATACATATATATATATATATATATATATATATATATATATATATATATATATATATATATATATATATATATATATATATATACT